GAACTGTGAGTCAGCCTGTGTGTATTTCTGTTTTGTGGGTCAATGGAGATTTGATATTTACTTGCTTTGCTCCCTCCCATTTTAATGCAAACGTCTGTAACCATGAGTAACTTTAACGTTTTTTGCCAAGTGTAATGAAGTGATTGATTTTTTTTTCTGCACTTTCATATTTGTTGCACCCATGGGTAAGATGCAGTGCCACTTGTTAACAGTGAAACACTCTCTCTCTTCTTTTTGTTAGACTTGGGCTGGGGTGGGGAGAGGGGGGAAGGGATCAACTTTTCATGTACGAGCATCTTCAATGAGTCTTCGAGGACAAATTTGGACTTTTACTCTCGCTATTTTTTTTTTTTTGCAGTTTTGAGGTCATTACTGGTATCAACTGCTATTTTGTCTGACTTGTAAATACAAAATTTCAGCTCCTTGTAGCTAATTTCCCTTTTCTTTTTCTTCTACATCACATGATCACAGTATCTGCTATTATGAGGACTGTTTGCAGACTATGAAGCTTTCCTTTTTCCTGTCTGCATGAGATTTTGCTCCGTGAATGACATTGTCCCATCTGATTTTCCCTTTGTTCATGCGCTGCTGCTTTCCCTTGCAATAGATTTCAGAATATGAGATCTGGAGCTTCATTTTAATATCATTAGCCATAAGACTGCTTCTAACTTGAGGTACTGTGTCGTATTAGACACACAAGTCTGGAAGGTAAACAACAGGATGAGCCAATTTGGCAAGCACCAGTGAACCCTTGAACATTAACGTAAACAGATTCAATTCAATACTGAAAATTTACTAAATAATTTCCTCATAAGCAAATTATGATCGGCATGTGCTATTTTTTCTTTTTAATATGATTAATGTTAATTCTGTGAACAGTGCTGAGTTTGATGCACTCTGGTCTTAAAATTTTTCTAGCAGTTTTTCCTCTCAATTTTGGATACAAAAATGGCAAAGCTTGCCTGCTGTACATTGTATTGCTGATGCTCTGGATCTGGTTTAAATGCTTTATTTTAGTTCACATTCTGGTTAGTACCTTCAGGCTTTGATTCAGAAAGTTTTTTTTGATGAATTGTGAATCAGACGGAGGAGGTGGTAAGGGAACCTGGGGAAAGTTACTTGATACTGATGGTGAGTTCCGTATTGATCGGAATGATCCCAACTATGATAGTGGGGAGGTAACTTCTCTGCCTGATCTGATTCTTTCTTAAGTACCTTTTTTTTGGGGTCTGATTATGGTGACTTTCTATCTGTTGATTACCTATTCAATGATGCTTGGGTTCTGCATGATAATGGAGTTATTATTGCTTTACTTGGTACCTCAGATTATTGGCTTATTTTACTTCGTCCTGCTAACTTTGACAGGAACCCTATGAGCTTGTTGGGTCCGCTGTCTGTGATCCATTGGATGAATATAAGAAAGCTGTAGTGTCCCTTATTGAGGAATACTTCACCACTGGTGATGTTGATGTAGCTGCTTCCGACCTCAGAGAACTACGATCAAGTGAATACCATCCCTACTTTGTCAAAAGACTTGTTTCTATGGCGATGGACAGGCATGACAAAGAGAAAGAAATGGCTTCAGTTTTGCTTTCAGCTCTTTATGCTGATGTTATCAGCTCAGCCCAGATTAGTCAGGGTTTTTTCTTGCTGTTGGAGTCTGCTGATGATCTTGAAGTTGACATTCTGGATGCAGTAGACATTCTTGCCTTATTTGTAGCTCGAGCTGTGGTTGATGACATTCTCCCTCCTGCATTCATCACAAGGGCAGGGAAAATGCTTCCAGAATCCTCAAAAGGACTTCAAGTCCTGCAAACTGCTGAGAAAAGCTATCTCTCTGCTCCACATCATGCTGAACTTGTAGAGAGGCGGTGGGGTGGTAGCACCCATCTCACTGTGGAGGAAGTGAAGAAAAAGATAGCTGACCTTTTGAGGGAATATGTTGAGGGTGGAGATACCTCTGAAGCCTGTAGGTGCATTAGGCAGTTGGCAGTTTCATTTTTCCATCATGAAGTTGTGAAGAGAGCTTTGGTTCTAGCCATGGAGATTCGTACAGCAGAACCACTCATTAGGAAGTTATTAAAAGAGGCTGCTGAGGAAGGTTTGATAAGTTCCAGTCAAATGGTTAAGGGTTTTGTTCGCCTAGCTGAGAGCCTTGACGACCTTGCCCTTGATATTCCTTCTGCCAAGACATTGTTCCAGTCTTTGGTGCCTGTGGCAATATCTGAAGGATGGCTTGATGCATCTTTCCTGAAATCCTCAGGTAAAGATGGGGAGGTGCAGGACAAAGATGATGAGAAGTTGAGACGATACAAAAAAGAGGTGGTTACCATAATTCATGAGTACTTTCTATCGGATGATATTCCTGAATTAATTCGGAGTCTGGAAGATCTTGCGGCACCTGAGTTTAACCCTATATTTTTGAAGAAGCTCATCACCCTTGCCATGGATCGGAAGAACAGAGAAAAGGAGATGGCCTCTATATTACTCTCTGCTCTGCATATTGAGATTTTTTCAACTGAAGACATAGTTAATGGTTTTGTCTTGCTGTTGGAATCTGCAGAAGACACAGCGCTAGACATTTTAGATGCTTCAAATGAACTTGCTCTTTTCCTGGCTAGGGCTGTTATTGATGATGTCCTTGCTCCACTGAATTTGGAAGAGATAGCCAGCAGGCTGCCACCAAAATGTAGCGGGACTGAAACTGTCCGTATGGCTCGATCACTTGTAGCTGCACGTCATGCTGGAGAGAGGATTCTGAGGTGTTGGGGTGGCGGGACTGGCTGGGCTGTGGAAGATGCCAAGGATAAGATACTGAAGCTCCTTGAAGAATATGAAAGTGGAGGTGTTGTCAGTGAAGCTTGTCAATGCATTCGGGATCTTGCTATGCCCTTCTTCAATCATGAGGTAGTGAAGAAAGCTCTGGTAATGGCAATGGAGAAGAAGAATGATAGGATGCTGGATTTGCTCCAAGAGGGTTTCAATGAGGGGCTGATTACTATCAATCAGATGACCAAAGGGTTTGGAAGGATCAAGGATGGACTTGACGATCTGGCACTCGACATTCCAAATGCCAAGGACAAATTTGGTTTCTATCTGGAGTATGCTAAAGAAAGAGGCTGGCTCCTACCATCCTTTAGTTTATCTTACCCAGAAGCACCACCAAATCTGGCTGCATCTTCTTGAGAAGAAACTTCAGTTTGTTCTCCGTGTATGTTGTTGCTTATTGTCTCCTTTTTTGCTTGGTAATTTCTGTTTCAGCGCATCAGAAGTGGATGATTTTAGAATTTTCAGATCCCATCTGATGTTTCTTCCCTTCTGTCTCTCTGTCTCCCTCTCTCCCGTGCGGCCTCTTCTTATGTGATGGAGTTTATCGATGTGTATAAATTAGGTTCTTGTTTTTCAACAGTAGACTGATTGTCTGAGATGGGAATGTGCTCTGTATTCCTACCAGTCAAAGACAATTTTAGCATTTACTGTTTTGTTCTTTAGACACGTTGGAAGGATCTTCCCCTTGCGGGCAGTGAACTCAGATGAACTAGTGACATTTTATCTTTAGCTTTTAAGCTGAATCAATATTCAATACCGTCCAGCTTTTGCTGTTTCCCTTCTGAAGCAGAGTTGGAGGAATGGTGCTTGTGGTAGAGTTGCAGCACTCTTTATCATGTTTGGCCTTCGAAGTTGTGAGCTCATCATCCCTTGAGCGATATTAAGACTGTCTGGTCTTTAACTGCGCAGAAATCAATAATGTGTATAATTTCTTATCCGTTTCTTCCTTGGAGAAGTCGAACACAATATTGGTCTTCCTAGCAGATGTGAGACAATGAACGAGAAGATTTTCCCTAAGATTAGAGCCTCTTTTCCTGATCGAGGGTGAACATGAAATCTGAGACGCTGGCAGGCTTAACTTTCCCTTTTATTAATGAAATTGCCTGTCATTTTTTTGTGTCTGTTCACCTACGCTCCGCCTATTCTAGCAAACTTCATGATGCACGTTATGAAACTGAGGTCATTTGTCACTAAAACATCCTCAAGAGCCCCAATTTCTAATCCTTTTTATGGAAATCTAAAGAAGGAAGGTAAAGAAGAAGGAACTTAAAGTTGTGAGAGTAAAGGAGTAGAATATTGAAAGTAAATGAATTGAAAAAAAGATTCTTGACCGATTTGGTAGGCAAAATTACCTCATAAAATCCATTAAGAAAGAGGTAATACTATTAAGACACTAAAGTTTTTAGTCGTTTTTTATTCATTTGTCTCCATATTTTAAAAGATGTTTCTACTTTCATAACGTGAGAATCTTGTAAATTAAAATTTAACGTAGGATGAACATAATAACTTTTAATTTTTCAACTTAAAACCTAAACAATACGAATATAACAAAGAAAATAGAGTAGGAAACAAAGGTTTTTCCCTTGTTTGGTAGCTTTAAAATGAGGAAAAAAATAAGATGCTAAAAATGCAAGATAACTTGAGGGCCTAACATCAAATACATACCATATTTTTGAGATGAAAATTGTAACAAAAAATATTAGAACATAACATAAATGTATTAATAATAGTAGTAATAATATTAATCTGCCTAAAAGGATTTCATCTTTTCTCTTAAACTCTGAGACAAAATAAGAAAAACAAAAGATGTCAGGTTCTTTTCTTTCCTTTTCTTTCCGTCATTCCCAAAAAAGATAGTAAAATAAAAACTAAAAATTGTATTACTCCTTTCCATCTTCGCCGAAAGTACTGCATATGTAATTGGCACCTGCATGTTTGGGCTGTGCGGACTCGGACAAGAATAATACTAAAAGCTATTGACTTCCTCCAACAACTCAGCTCCAAAATCCACCGCTTTAAATTGCAAGACCCAGGCATAGTTTCAATCATTAGCTTCTCTAACCGCCAACTACTTGAGAGTCGACGCACTTGGAATATCTGAGGTAATAATTCTCTTAAATATCTCACGTATGTGTCGATAGATAACTGGATATATGCAAATTTTGAAGAAAATTGTTTTGTGGGCTCTATTTGTTTGTGAGTATTGTTGCAGTAATTTCATGGTAAAATCAAATCTTTTTTGTTCCTTTTTAGTTGTAAACTTCTGACAGAATTAGACCATTCTTTCTCTGGGTTGTGAATTTTACTCGGCTGTCTGTTTTCGGTTTTCTCTTTTTGGCTTTTTTCCCCTTTTGGTGTGATATTTAACTGTTAGTTTCCCTTTTTGCACTTTGGTTTTTAATTGGAAAGATTGAAACTTTAATGTGGATTACCAGTTGAGTATGCTTGTATTAGATGTATGGCGGCATTGGTCAAATATAAATGAAGTATGCTATATTGAAATGAATTTGTAGTTAGTGATATCCAGGATTTAGGTGAGAAGTTGAATTTTAAGCAATTTGTTAAAGGAAGTTCTAGACCCGACTGAACTGTTGGTTTGATTTTTTACCTGTTGTTCATATAGCTGCACCTTTATAGTTCAGTTGCTGTGCAGCTAGCTTGTAAAGATGTAAATATGTATCAGTCGGTTTAAATATTAACAAGTGGAAGTTGATACATTTGTCGTTGGGTTTCTGTAGTGAGCAAATACTTGAAAGTACCTTGATGAGTAAAGATGCAGAGGCCATGGAAGCAGAAGGTAAACAGTTTAAAAGGTTGGGCAAGTGCCGGTCAAAAAGTAAGCTAGATTACCCTCTTGATTGTGGGGCTGATGCTGATGCGGATCAGAGTAGTCAAACGATGTCATCCTTGCGTGAGGAAAAAGTCAGCAGCCTTCGAACCGTAAGTTTGTTTTTGCACAATTTGGTATCTATTATGCCAATCTATCTTTGTCATTTCCTAATTTCTTCAACTTGCATAATACTTAGACTCTGTCTGTAAGGTGAGCTAAACTTAGTGGAATGCTACATAACTTAGAGATTGTATTTGAACTCCTGTGGAGCAACATCACTATTTCGACATACAAAAGTACTTGCTTGACTTTATTAAGCTCTTGATATAGAGAAAGAGAACAGGCAGGAATGATGAATCATGATATGTTAAACAAGGAGAGGTCATGGGATGGGATTGGTGGGGGGAGGGATGGGTTGGGTGGTTCGGAGGGAGGGAGTGTAAGTGAGAGGTCTTGGAATCAAGCTCTCCCACGCTAAAAAAAAGGATAGAGAGATAGAGGTTGCACTTGATTAAGCGAATAATCATGGGAATTATATGCATTGCAGTAAAAAATGAAAACCTGTATTGGAAGTAAAATCATATTTTGGAGTTTCATAGGGCAGTGCTTGATTGACCGTCTAGTCCATTTTTCCTTCTTTTGGTTTTTTATTTGGTTAGCATGTTTCCCGCCTTTCATCCTAAGGAAAGCCAAAGATTACTGCTAATTAGACCCTGATTTATTTTTCTTGTTCACTCTTCCTTTCAAGTTCCATTTGTTATTTTCTCTGTTCATCCTAATTTTGCTTTTATCTTGTTTGCTAGTCATTTATCACTTTCAAGTTTCTTTTGCCTTTCTTGTGCCTACAAATTTTTTCCTCATAAGTGCATGGACTACACCTTTAGACATAATCAAGCACCTTATTCATCACGTTGGGATTCATGCAATCATGCATCAAATATTGTCTCCTTCCATATCGGAACATTAATGAGCAGTGGCTACTATCAAGGAAAAGGACAAAACAATAAAAGCGTAGGCCCACAGGGAATGGTTCTCTGTTATAGGTGGAAATACAAAGAACAATCTCTGCCTGTTTGATTGTTCATCAATTGCGTTGAATTTTGTGCTGTTGCAATGTTGTTGTGTTTCCTAAGTTTGTTTTTAGTATGTTCTTGACTCCTTGTTATATTGTAAAATCCCTGTCAGTACCTAAGGAAAGTAGTGTTTTATTCATTTATGGAGAAAATCATGATGTTTTGATGACAATCTTCAGTTATTTGTCTGGCTAATAATTCAATTAAATGCCATATTAATTTTAAATGAAGAAATGTAATATTCAGTTGATACAGATTTTGAACTAAAAAGAGTCTCGAATCCCGAATCATAGGGTTAAAGTACTTGAGCTATGTATAAAAGTATGCGCAACAGTAAAGCACTCAACATTGACAGATGATTGTTGGCATTGCAACTTAGCGACAATCAGTTTTATGACTTGCAGGTGTTGAAGAGTTTGGAGTAACTTTTGTCTTATTAATTTTGAACAACGCGTCCAAAATAAATCATTTGACTTTGATTTCCTAAATGAAAGCAAGTTTTCAGAAAGCTTAAACATGAAAAGCAGCTAACTTTCGAAAGTGACGTGTAATATTAGTTTTACAAAAGACCGCAATTGGTGGAATATTGGATTGGTCTGATCACATTTTTTAGGAAAAAATGTTGACTGAGACCCAAAGTGGGAAATAAACTTGACTGCGTTTAAAAGTAATGAAATGCATGTGATGACGCTGGAATTAGAGATTCGCCTGAAATTCACTCCGAGAACTAGCTTTATTTCTGCTCCTAGTGCTCCACTAGTTTAGTTGTATCTGAACATGAGTAATGGCATAACAGGGGCTTTGTTCCAGATTAAAATTTAAAAGGCACACTTGTCTAGGTTGCTTTAAAATCATAACATTTTCTGTGTGAAGAATTGACGATTTGTTTGTATCGTTGAGCTATCAGGGGTTAGTCCATGTTGCCCGGAAGATGCCAAAGAATGCACATGCTCATTTTGTACTTGGCCTAATGTACCAAAGGATGGGTCAAGCTGAGAAGGTATCTTTGAATCTAATGTCTTCAGATTGGGTAATATGTATGGATGTAGTTTTACCAATAAATCTTTTTGTAGGCAGTTGTGGCATATGAGAAGGCTGCTGAGATTTTGATTCGTTCTGAAGAAGAAATTGACCGCCCAGAGTTGCTTTCATTGGTTCGGATTCACCATGCACAGGTTGAATTTGTTTTACATCAAAGTATGCTAGTTGTTTGCCACATTTAATGATGAGTACTTAGTAGGGGACATTATGTTCAATGGCCATACATGCATTTATAACATGTTGCATCACAAATGCAGTGTATTTTGTTGGGAAGCTTAGAAGAGTGCAAGTCAGACAAAGAACTTGAACCGAAAGAACTTGACGACATTATTCTGAAGCTAAGGGAGTCTATGGATTCTGATATAAGACAGGCACCTGTCTGGAACACTCTGGGACTTGTACTTCTTAAAACTGGACGTTTTCAGGTGCAATAGCTGAATCTTGTTCTTGTGTAGTGTTGCGCCTTGACTTTGTAAATCTAAATGTCTTCTATTTTCTTTTGTAGAGTGCTATATCAGTTTTTTCTACTTTGTTAGCTGTTGAACCCAACAACTTGGATTGCCTGGGAAACCTTGGGATTGCTTATTTTCAGAGGTAATGAAATTAGTGTCATCCTTAAGATTCTTGCATTCTTTCCCCCCTTCTCTGTCCTTTTCCAATATTTGGGTGAAAAAAATGCATATCTTTCTAGATGCTTTTGATTGTGTATTCTATTTTTGTCCGGAAAACTCCTTTTGTATCTTCCTACTTTCTTGTGACTCAAAATGTTTTGCACTAGTTCTAGTATTATTATCTTATATATCTATTGATTTGTAATGCACGAGATGCTTCTGCATGTTGATTGTTTGGTAAATTAGCTTCTTTCCTAGGTGCCTGATTGGTCATGCTGTGGCTTTTGGCAAAATACTTATTTAATTTTTAAAGCTTTGAATTTCAGCGTCGTGTAAAAGCACTTTCAAAGCTTAAGCCTGAAGTGGTTATGAAACGTCACCAAGAAGTTATGGGATGCAATACTCCCTAGAGTAGTACGTGAAATCTTTCTAATGGGACTTCTATATTGTATATACTAATATCTTGGAGTTCATTGTTCTTTTTCCATCTGAATGACACATTTGTTAATCAACTGTAGAGTATATATATGTGGTTCCATACTAAGAGATCAGGATTTGTGAATGGACCCTGTTGATGAGCACTTTCCAAAAATAGAGAGAATATAATCCAACACATTTAGTTGGTTGGATATTTGTTCTCACAGTCACACCATGAAGCACAAAGTGTAAAAAATGTGGCTTAAGAGGCAGAAGCAGTATGCAAACTATTTGAGGGTACCCAGGTCAAGTTGCTTAAAAGTAGAAATGATGAAAGTCTGTTTTCAGTTGGGTTAGTATGTAATCATATAAAGTCCAACAGGGTTGGTATCTGCACTTACATGTCGTCGAACTTAGTGGCTGTGCATTTCCTTCCCTGGGCATATTGCTAGAAAAATTTTGCATCCCTACTTTGTTTAGATAAAAAATTTCAGAAAGGGTAGGAGACAGCATAATTACCTTTAGATTCAAGTAACACAAACAGTAAAGCAAAACTACCTATTCTATTAATTGTCAGGACAAATAAATTGTATTCATGCAAATACTTTCTACTGCCTTGATTTCTCTGCATTTTTATTAGTCCATACAGGGTTTTTACATATTTCCTGAGCCACTGGTAGGTTACTTCCTTTTAGTTTGTTCACACTTACATTTATTTTCCAGTGGGAATATGGAGCTTTCAGAGAAGTGCTTGCAAGATCTGATTTTGAAAGATCAAAACCATCCTTCTGCTTTTATCAATTATGCAGCCCTTCTTTTGTGTAGATATGGTTCATTAATTTCTGGTAAGTTTCAAAACAACATAGAAAAGCATGGTTTATATTCTATCTAGCATATCTCTGTCTAGTGCTTTCTTCAGATATAGTTGAGAGTTATGCTTCCACTTTAGACAAGTGCCCATGACGTGCTTCATCATGCTCTGCAAATTATGTCTCTTCAATTGTCAACTCCAAATTTCAGGTGCTGGAGCAGGTGCCAATGATGGAGGGGCTTCTGAAGAACAAGTTACAGCAGCTAACGTTGCTAAAGAGTGTTTGTTAGCTGCGGTGAAGTCAGATCCCAGAGCAGCACATCTATGGTCGAATCTATCTAATGCATATTTCTTGATGGGTGATCATAGAAGTGCGAGTAAATGCTTAGAAAAGGTGCTTCTGTCTCTTTTATTCTTCACTAAAATCATACTAAGTTTTTGTAAACTGAACCAGAACACTTGTGTTTGTATTTTAATGTCATAGATGTCCTCTTAGCTTGCCTCTCTTCAATTTTTGCTATGGCGCTTACTTCAGCTGCAGTTTCTCATAGAGCTGCTAAAATTTAGAAACCTCCTTCAGTTACCAATGGGCCCATAATTCTTGCATGGAAACCTTCTTGTTGTACCCTGTCTATACCCAGGACATCTTTCTTTTACCAAGAAAAAGTTTTTAAAGTGACCCATGGTGCCCATTGGCCCCCTTTACAGCCACCCTAATCTCTTTCCTATTTGTACTCCTTTCATCTCTCAAACCATCAGCTGATGCCACCAATGCCTTCTTCAGCCATCTCTTCCCAGTTTAAACCCTGTGAATTTTGATTTAGTTTCTGCCTCCAGCAGGATAGAGAGTAGATGTTTCAAATCGTCTTTGATTGTTTGTTTGGTTGGTTGTGCTTAAGTCAGCTTGCTGATGGTGCATATGCATGATTAACTGTTTTTTTAAAACTTCCTTTTTGTTAAATCACCATTATGTGTTTGTCTAGTTGGAGTTCGGCAGTGTCATAATGGTAAAACAAGACATTGTTGATTTTCAAGAATGTTTTGCTTGCATTTTGGGATGTTTTTCATGTTTTGCAGATTTCCTTTATGTTGTGACATTCAAGTAATGGCAAGGTGCTTTTCTTTGGTGAAAGTAATGGTTGCTAAACGACATTTTGGATGTTTGTGTTGTGACCGTTTTAAGAGTTTTCTTCTACATGTTCAGGCAGTGAAACTAGAGCCCAATTGTTTAGCTACAAGATATGCTGTTGGAGTTCACCGAATCAAGGATGCAGAAAGGTCTCAAAATCCAAGTGAACAGCTCTCTTGGGCTGGAAATGAAATGGCTTCCATACTTCGAGAAGGGGAATCCTCGGTGATTGAGCCTCCCATAGCTTGGGCAGGCCTTGCTATGGTTCACAAGGCTCAGCATGAGATAGCTGCAGGCTTTGACATTGAGAATGACGACTTGTTGGAAATCAAAGAACGTGCTACAGACAGTCTGAAACAGGTTGAAGCAGCATAATCTTTGTCTCTTTTTTTCCCCTTCTTAAATTCTCTCTGTTTTCTCTCCTTCCCGCCTCCATCTCTTCTCTCTCTCTCTCTCTCTTTGTGTATGTGTGTGTGCTGCTTTTGGGTTATTTTGTTTTATTCTCCAGTTCTGTGGGATGAGATGCAAGTTGTGTTTCACCCTTCAAATGTTGTGGATCTTGGAGTCATTGGGTTCTGGATATCTTTGCTTCTATCTGGTATTAATGTTGGAATAAAGAATTTCTTCTTCTGGAATGTGCAAGAATTCCTTTTTTCAGATGATCATGTATAAGAATTCTTTTGTCTCATAACAAGCATTGCAATAAGTGGCGAAGGTTCACTCGCGATCAAATTTGGTATCTTCTGTTTGTCTGTTTTAGGACTAAAAATGAAGGAACTGACATTACTTTATCTGTATATGTGCCACATTTCTTTATCACTTTTAATTTTAATCATGTATAAGCCTCCCCTATCTTTGTTGGTGCATGGTTCAATTGTCATGAAATCTTCTCAATGACGGCTTTTTAGAAATTTGAAGTTCAAGCTTTGCTTTCTGTGCTACTCTGTTCTTTCCAGGGTTATGTCAGAGAGAATTTTTATTTTCTTTGTTTCCACATGTGATGTGAGTCAGGCAATAGCACAAGACCCCGATGACGCGGTCCAGTGGCACCAAGTTGGCCTTCATGGTCTCTGTACGCAACAATTCAAAACATCACAGACGTACTTTAAAGCTGCAGTTGCGCGTCTTAAGGAGTGCAGTTATGCTTGGTCAAATCTTGGTAATTATAATTCTGCATCAGTGTGTCTAATCACTCTGCATTTTCCAACCTTATTGATCTTTTAGTTCTGAGGATGCTTGTTATTGCGATTCTTACATTCTAAGCATGCATGTCAGGTATCTCATTGCAATTGTCTGACGATTCTCCGCATGCAGAAGAAGCTTATAAACGTGCCTTGTCACTGGCTACATCTCAACAGGCACACACTGTATTATCCAACCTCGGCAATCTCTACCGGCAGCTACGACAATATGAACGTGCAAAGGCAATGCTTACCAAGTCACTTGAACTGCAACCAGGTTATGCTCCAGCATACAACAATCTAGGTCTTGTGTTCGTGGCCGAACGGCGTTGGGAGGAAGCCAGATACTGCTTCAACAAGGCTTTTCAAACGGACCCCTTGTTGGATGCTGCAAAGTCCAACATGATCAAAGCAGCCAACATGTGTAGAGTATATTCAACCTTAAACTCAAGTTTGAGTTGAAAACTAACTGGTAGTAATTGTAGTCTACTTCTTGTCTAAAAAAGAAAATTGTAGCTACTTCTTTTTCCCACCCTGAAGTTGCCGACTTGTACATAACTTTTGTATTCAACATGGCTCCTTGTTTGGAAAGCCATTTTTCCTCAAAAAAATTTTCCGTTTTCCGTGAACTTGTTTTTCATTCACTATTTTATTTTATATATATATATATATCAAATCGTTACAGTAGGATTTTTTTTTCCCTTTCCTTTTTTAGAACTTCACAAAATAGCAATCCAAATGGATAACCATTTTGAACGAGCAATTGTGACTTTTCCTTAGTTTTCTGTTGAAAGCCAGGCCAAGAAATCCTTCTTCCAAGAAATCCTCCTTCTGCAAGAAGAATCACTCAGAAAAGTCAAGCAAGAAGGACTCAAAAAGCAAAATAAGGAAAAGGAAAGAGAGAAAGAAAAGAGGAAGAAAATAATTACATAATAAAACTTAACCTGGGTGCATCAAGGGCAAGGTCTAACTTATAATCAGGGGGTTATTCTTCCTCCAAATTCAAGAAACAGCTCAATGAACTTGGGAGATAATATTCTTGCAGCATCATACAAAGACCACCGTTTTCCACAATTGACGTCCACCTTCGAACCAGTTTCTCCTTTGAGCAATGCCTTTGCACAAGATACATATTCCAAACTAACAGCCAATCAAACAACAAGACCCAAAAGAAATGAAACAAGAAAACAACAAAATGAGTTTGATTACAGCCCCAAGAAAAACGCAAAAAGCATCATTAGAAAAAAAAGGTCTCAACATTAGACAACAAAACACTGAAAATTTCGAAATTAGCACTGACCAGAACGTGCATACAAGGTTAGCTACAACATGGTGACGTTGCCCTGTATTGGATCTTTCCTCTTACTATGTAGTAAAAATACGGGAGAGACGTACGTAAATGTAATTTCATTACTAATAAAGATTTATCAAGCATAAATAGAATTAACCAAAAAGTACAAGTAGAATCGAGCCAACTCAATGAGCCCATGAGTCGAGTATGTCTATGTTTGGGTTCGACTTAACAGCTTGCCAAATCAAGCTTGAGCTCAAATCCAGCTTTCAATTGATTGCTTGCGAGTCGGCTTGTAGCCCTAGTTTGAATGAACTCACTATACCTATTTTAGTTGTGCTCTCAAAATTTTGAATCATTTTAAAAGAAAAGAAGCAAAATGAATTAAATTGCTTATAAAGACTACTTGCCTTTTATCTTTATGAAATGTAAATCGAAATCCTGATTATGAGGTGACATTCGTGAATCAAAGAGGGAAATTCAGAGAAAAGAGCTCATAGGAGTGCTACTTTCCAACGGTGCTGGAAAATCATTGAATAGAGAGATAGCATCAGTAGGATGAACTTGTATCTGCAGCAGTTGTTTATTAGAAAAGAGATATATTGAACTTGTATCTGCATCAGAAGCCAACAGCCTCTTGGGTTATTGGTCATAAGTCAAGGGTTCAATTCTTCCCTCCCACCATATACTTGCAACTTAATTGTGGCTATCACTTTCAAGTAACTTCCTCTGACGGGATTCCGTCGGTTAGGCTCCTCCTCTCCCTATGTTAGACTAGAGTAGATTATACAAATATTATCATAGCTAATTGATTGCGTTATTTGGCTTTTCAACAGAATTGAGTTTTCCCAAGCCAAGCTGCAGGCTTCTTATCAGCTGCACGAGCTCATCTTTCTCATCATACTTCAATATATTATCTCGGCCTTCAATACTTGGTGGACCAAGTGTACCAACATCACCATCCACCTAAAATTACAGACCCAAAAAGAAAAGTTTATTAATGATACTTTTATTTAATAAAAAAATTAACCAAGATAAAAAAAAGTTAATGACCCATGAAATTATATTTTAGGAATGATGTCATCCAACATCTTTTACACCAGGCTCTGTGCTCAAGCAGTCGGGTATGGGGCTATGTTGTGTTATAGACAACTAAGTCCATGAAGCCAAATTGATTCGGCACACTGAATTTGGTGGAGTTTAATTTCCTGATTGCAGAAAGGCAAAGTATTTGACAACAGTCTAAAATTTTGTATTGTCCGGGTTAATCTTCTAAAGAGCTTTTTTATTTCTCATCATATATTCTGAAATTGGAAAAATATGATCCAAAGATAGATCAAAATTGTTAATCTTAAAGTCAAAACTTGATACGATTTGTACTCAAACTAGATGAAACCGAGCTGAGTCATCAAGTTTGAGTTGAGTTTTTCACGAGACAAACATCGAGTTACTCCCTTGCACCCTCCTTATTCTACGGCTCAAACGAAAATGAAAATTATACAACTGAAAAAAAAAAAGAAGGCAAGAAATATTCATAAGGAAGAGTAGCAAATAGACCCAAGTCAAACCTTATGTCAATAAACTTAAGGATTAATCTTATATACACTGTCAGTGTATATACTATCACTGTTAGACATATGACACGTGTGAAATTCAAATTTTACTCATTTGTCCTCTATCTAATCGTGATAGTGTATACATTGACATTTAGTCTAAATTTAATCAATAAAAGCGCACAACCAGGTATCCGTTAATGACGAGGCCAGGTATGTCGTAGGTGTTAACCTTTTTATCATTTTAATTGCTACAATATCTACATAAGCATAACTTTTAGAATATGTGTATTTATACAGGTATATGTTAAAAGTCTTGGCAAGTGATGTAACCAACAGTGCTTAGTTTGTTATATTTGATCAAGAGGCTGAAAGAATAATAGAACACAAACTTCTTTTGTTCTTGAAGAATTTAATAAGGTAAACTTATATCTAATTTTTTAAAATATTTTTAATAATAGTAGACAATCCGACACTTATCTCAGCCGTTGAATATTCTAACAAAAAAATCTATTATGCTTTTCGTTTCCAGGAAGGATTTAGCAATGAAATCATGTCATCAATTATAAATAAGATCACGTGAAAACCTTTTGTGTTCCAAATCAAGTTGAACAATTACAATCTAGAATAAGGTAGTAATAGATTTATAGTAACTAGATGGTTCCACTGTGATTTCGGGAGGGAAACGCATTTCATGCTTTCACAGGTAATGTACAATAAATTTCTCTTATGTTTCACATATTATATCTCACATAATATTTTTGCCTTTAATTTTGATAAATCATTATCAGATTGGTGGAATCGACAACCAATAACAACCTGAAACATCTTCTTCTCAGATCCCAATTAGTACAACAGATGATTCTAATGGACAACATTTCAATACACTTCATATGAATCATTCATCAGAGGGTTTAACAAAAACCACAGAGGAAGGTAATCCTCATAAAAAGATTTGCATGACAAGGTAGATTTAATATACTATTTTACTTTCTTAAATTATAATCTTTACGTATTGTTATATACAATTTTGAATGCGATAAATCATTTAATTTTTTATACTTAGTTATCCTGCTTTGCTATCATGTAGTGATAATGGAAAATCAATAAATGCTGAGTTGCACGGACAAATCGAGGAGAATGTTCAAATAGAAGAAAAATAAAAACAAGTTTCTGAAGAGTAGTATATTATTTGATACTATTTACTACACTTTTTATTTATTTTCAAGTTTTTGAATGTTATGGTATTGTTGAATGTTATTTTTTCCATTTTTGAATTATTATTCACTGAATTAGATGTTCAAATTTATATTATAAGAATAATTTATATTACAATGCGCACATAGTAATATACTTAAGACAAGTTATAATAGATTATGCATTAAATTTGTATTTTATATCGACATTTTTATAAAATTGACTAAATAGTTTATTTTTTTTCGACGATTCCCGTTCAACGAACGGGTACAAAACTAGTTTAATCAATAAAAGCGCATAACTAGGTATCCGTTAATGACGAGGCCAGACAAAGCTGAGAAGAGACTTTCGAACAGGCAAATACAGATTTAGAATAAAAGAGTTTTTAAGAGATAACAAAACTAAACCACTAAAATTCATTTTCTTGATTTTTTCTTAAAACAATTCTTATATGAACGTCCAAGATCATCTTCAATTGGATGATGCCCTAATTTGAATTGCAATTATTAACCATGTGGGCGGAACAAATATTCAAGCCTCCATTGGGATGAAATGGGTTGAGAGAGGAATAAAATTTCTTAAGTTCAATTATATGTAACCCTCCTAAGGTTTTGCATAATATTATATGATCTCCTTGAGATTTCAAAATAGCCACATTACCCTTTGTAGTTTTATGTGAAGTGAAAAATGGATGGAATGCATAATTAGTTACGACGATTAAATCATAGTGCTTTAAAAGTGCGTGTGATGAAATCATAATATTAACTTAACCCCCCACCTAGAATTTTGCATTTATCCACTTAATATCCATATGATTTTGTACAAAATGATTAAGTCATCATTTGATTTAACATTTATGTAAATGCACTAATAGTATTTCAAATAACGACATTACATGAGTTATTTTTCGTTAAATTTTCAATTTACATGAAACTATAGGGGTGAATTTAAAACATTAAGGAATTATGTGGCAATGGATGAAACCACAGGAGGATTAAAGTAATTTACGCAATTTGTTATTATCCTACTCTAATAGCTTTTGGAATGGTGAGTACATTTATGATCGGTAACCAAAATATGTGTCACATTATATTATTTATCGAAAAAAAAGTTATCTCTTACTTCTTAACTTTTCAAGCTTGCCACAAGGGAGAAGGATGGCTAAGAAGCTCGAAAGCCTTAAAGCTGCTAGACCTGAAATTTTTCCACCCTGCATGGAGGCAAAAGATGAGATCTACTGGATTGATGGACCATTAGGAAGAGACAATGGATACGTTTGGATTGGCCAAATTTTCATAATTTACCTCAGATTTTTGACTTGCATGATTTGGTTTATTGGAACTAGGGGTGGGGAAAAAAATCCGAAAACCCGAAAACCCGACCCGACCCGCACCGTAAAATAGGATATCCGATCCGATTTCTGTTAGCGGATCAGATAGGGTCGGGTACCCTAACTATTCGGATTCGGATACGGATAGTAAAAGTAAAAACCCGCGGGTACCCGACCCGGGGGTATAATATATAAATATTAAAAATATAGGGGTGATTGTATAATATTTTAAATTACTATTAACCCTAACCTAAATCA